AATGGGTGCAAACTGGAGCAGAGGAGGTTCCATGTGAATGTCAGGAAGAACTTCTTTGCTGTGAGAGTGACAGAGCCCTGGGACAGGCTGCCCAGAGAGGCTGTGGAGTCTCCTTCTCTGGAGACATTCAAACCCCCCTGGATCCTGTGTGATGTGCTCTGGGTGCCCCTGCTCTGGCAGGGGGGTTGGGCTGGGTGAGCTTTCCAGGTCCCTCCCAACCCCAACCCCTCCCAACCCTGATCCTGTGGAAGGCTGCAGAGGAAGCTGAGCACCCACTGAGTGCCCCACCAGTCTCCCCCAGGTACAAGCACACCCAGCAGGGGACCCATTTCTCACCAAAGGAAAAAAAAAAAAGCAAATCCCTCCCTCTGCTCCCTCAGCCTTGACCTGAGAATCAAAATCAACACACTCAGAAACGTCTCCAGGAAATAAAACCCCCAAATCTACTGCAGAGCCCTCTACCCTCCCCATGTGCCCACAAGTTCCCTGTCTCCAAGGAAATCAGTCTCAGCAGGTTTTCCCCACCTACCACCACCTCCTGCACGTCCCAGCCACTCTTCCCTTCTCAGGCAGCTGCCGTGTTAAATATCTCCCTCATCTCTCAGCTACTGCGTCCAACCCATTTGGCTTTGAAGCCTGATGCTCCTACTTCTGATCAAAGAAGAGCTCACAAAAGCTTGTCTGCCTTCTCTAATCCTACCTTCTCCTCCTGCCCAAGGGTCCATGCAGACAGGCCTTGCCTTTATATCCACCCCCAGAGCCCTCTCCTGTCCCCATCTCAGAGAAACTTGCAATGGAGAAGCTGGAAATAACATCCAAGGAATTCCAGGGCTTGGGAATAGCAAGATGAACGAAAGACCTGTAGGAATCTGGCTGGAGAGACATTCCCAAGGCTTAGGTGTTCCCAGGTGGGCATGTCCCAGGAGTGGCACCCATGCTTTGGTGCACACCAAAGGAGCTGGAGGTGCAACCAGCCGGTCATGAAGCTGCAGAGCCGCTTTGCTGAGAGCAGCACAGCTGGTGGTGTCAGCCATCCTTCCCGGCTTTTTAGGACCAGGTGGGTTTCTGAGAGCCCTAAGCCTGTGCACTCCTGCCATGGGCTGCAGTTTTCCCGGAGCATTCCCTTTCCCCAGCATTTTCCTGACCCCTAGTGACAAGATCTGGCTGCACAGCAGCTGCTCCTCCTGCAGAGCCCAACCCTCCCGGGAGAGATCAGGGGCAAACCTCACTCCTTAAGGTGGGAGGAAAGGTTTTCCAGATCCATCAAGATACTCACCCTCCACAACACCTACAAACCTGCCAGAAAGCCCAACTTGTTGAGCAAAGAAACTCCAATTTGGCCTGAAAGGCAGGAAACAAGGAGCTTCCCTTCCTCCAGGCTCCAGCTGTGCCCAGGGCATCTGGGAATATGTGATGAATCCATCAGCAGACTGGACAAAGCAAAGGGGTGAGGAGAAGGCAGTTTTGATGGATTTCCTTCCCCCAGGGCATCCTGTTGGGGAGTGACCTTGGCAGGGCAGCAAACTGCATGATCTCACCACCAGCATCCAGCACAGCCCCAGCTCCTGGGGACCTGGAGGACAAGACCTGTGACACAGGAACACATCAGCTGCCAGGGTCCTTTTATCAACCCACTTGGTTTCAAGGACAAACACAGAGTCAAAGCAAGATGATTCTGGCTGGAGTTTGCAAATCTAATTCATGCCAGGAAGGGGTTGTCTCTTCTAGAACCAGTTGAACACAGGAGAAGGCATCTGGAGGAATATCCACTAAGGGACTTCAGACTCTGGCCTGAATCACCCTTCTCCTCTGGAAACCATCCCTTCCACACAAGGTGCCTTTGCAGACACCTCTCACTTGGGTGCTCATGTTTTCTATATGTTACAAGTGGGTTTTGCCACTTTTACTGCCATTTTTTTCCCATCTAGGCTTCTCCAGGGGTACCTGCCTGACACCAAGGCCCTTTACCTAAAGGCCAGAGAGGTCTGAGTTGTCCCAGCTTCCATTTCTTCTGCTGCTTGTGCTCAGACCAATTCCCAGCCCTCCTTGACTTGGATAAAACCACACAGCAAGAGGAAACCTCACCCAGGAATCATTAATGATTCCTCTCAATTTATTGGGCCCTTTTGTCAACTTAAACTTGTCACAACTGCCATAAATCCCCTCCAGTGCTAAATAAACTCTGCAATTAAATCTGTGGTGCCACAAAAGCAATGCTTCAGCTACCAGAAGAGCAGTCAGTGATGAAAGAGCTTGGCCCAACCCTGGCTTAAAACACCCTTTGGGGTAGCTGAGGT